CCCAACTGCTCAGCAGCACCAGCCCCCAGGACTGCCCCGGCCGCCCAGACAAAAAAAGCAGCAGGTTATATATAGGTAAATTCCTCTTACTGCATTTTCAAATGGAGAGACACAGATATAGCTAGTTTCTGACATTCCATTTGCTAATGGTGCTCATTTCACAGATCTCAGCTGAAGGCAGAACATTCACAGGGTGAAAAGCGAATGGCCGAGTCGAGGATTTCGGTGTTTCCCGCTGGCGTACAAAGGTCAGATCTTTCTCTTTCAAAGTCTGTGCCCAGTTGTGCTCTCAGAGCTGTTAATCAAAGTCCCTTCTGCTCTGACACAAAACATTTGTGGACACAGTGCAGCCTCCCACCCCCATCCAATCAATAGCCAACACCTCAGTTCAAACAGATCCCTGTTCTAGGGGAGGGAAGACACAAACCCAGGAGTGAGCTGACACTGCTCATGGCTGACAGTTCCAGGAGAGCCTGGGGTTGGGTTTGGTTTGGTTTGACAGGCAGCAGGGGCCACTGCTCCCACACAGTTCCCACACCTCACAGGGCTGCAATCACCACTGGCAGGAACTACTGAACCAGGATGGGCTTCAACCACTGACCCAGGAGAGAGACCCACACCATCACCAGCTCTCAGGAGCAGCTGGGGGGGCTCAGCCTGGAGAAGAGGAGGCTCAGGGGGGACCTTCTCGCTCTCTGCAACTACCTGACTGGAAGGGGGTCGGGCTCTGCTCTCAGGGAACAAGGGACAGGATGACAGGAAACAGCCTCAAGTTGTGCCAGGGGAGGATTAGACTGGATAACACCAAAAAGAAATTCAGAATTTACAACAGAAAGAGTTGTAAAGCACTGGCAGAGGCTGCCCAGGGTAGGAGTGGAGTCACCATCCCTGGAAGTATTCAAAAAACATGTGGATGTGGCACTTGAGGACGTGGTTTCGTGGTGAACATGGTGGTGGTCCTGGGTGACGGTTGGACTTGATGAGCTTTAAGGTCTTTTCCAACCTTAATGATTCCGTGATTCTGTGAATTCAGCTCCCAAGAAAGACCAAACCAGTCTTAGAAGAGGGGGGAAAATGAGCCACCAGTGCTCCAGGATCAACCAGCAGCCCAAACATGGCCATTCAGTGCCTGGGAAGCTTCTGTGCATTGAAACAACGATCTCAAGCTGAAACGATGTGCACAAACCCACACCACCACCATCCTTCAGTAATTCCCTTCAACACACGGAACATCAGAGCCACAGAATCCCACACTGGTCTGGGTTGGAAGGGACCTTAAAGCTAATCCCATTTCACCCCCTGCCATGGGCAGGGACACCTTCCACTAGCCCGGGTTGCTCCAAGCCCCGTCCAACCTGGCCTTGGACACTTCCAGGGATTTACTGTGCAGGCAGGTAAACTCTGCTTGTCTGAATTAAGCACATTTGTATGCAGTTCTGCTTTAATCTGCATGTCCAGAGAAACCTAATTGTGTATTCCTCTTCTCATAAAAACAGGATTTAATTCTCACTCAGCAAGTTATGAGGCAGCAGGAAAAAAAATGTTGAAGTAAAACTATTACAATCAGCTTTGTTGCTCTCTGCTTATCTTAGAAATCAATATAAATACAGTAATTCCTAATTTAAATATTCAGAATTTAATAGCAACTTGTCAGTAAAACCTGGTGTACTTGGGAGTGTTTTCATTTAAATCAAGTTACATGCTTTGGTTGCTACCGAGGCTGAGATTTAATTCAATACACAAAGCATAACTCCAACCCTCTTGTGTTAAAAATATTCTTTAAATAAATAATAGATCAAAGCAGTGTCACTTTGATGGCATATGCAGTCCATGGAAGGGGGAGAGCCAGGATTAAATGTTTTCAGAGCAGCCCTCGTGGAGAAGGGGCGGGGGACACCAGTGAATGCTCACTTATTTTCTCCAGATTTACCACTCATTACTCTGCTGATTCGATTCTCCCACTTATCAGAGTTCTGCCTTCCAAAGAACCTTCAACTTCATAAAAACTCTGAGGTTTTTAGAGCAACAAAGGAGGATGAAAAGAAGAGTCATTCCTTCCCAAATCTTAGTGAATCATTTCCTATAACTATAGCAGAGCTCGGATCACTCCCCAGGACTCCTCGATGAATAAGGCAAAAATCTGCCACTGCTCATGGTTTTCATGATTCACGGGGACACGACAGATTTACCTGCAACTTGGACAAACAGAGACTTGGTTTGGTTGACCTTTGAGAATTTCTTCATTTAGAGACAGGCTGGTGTGTTTAACGACAAGTGATGGGTCCCAACCCAAGCTGTGACAAGTTCATTTATCAAATTCAAAACAACGGAACGTTCTCACCCTCAGCTCACAGCCAGAGCTACATCCTCTTCCAGCAGCATCCCGGAGACAAGAGCACACCTGGAGTCCATCAGCCCTGGCTTGTGGGGAAGGGGGGCGAGAGACAAAGCACCAGGGGAACGGGACAGACCCTCAGCCACACTGGGACTGGAGGGAAGGGGCTCCAGACGGGATGAGCAGCTCCAGACAAACACTGGGGGCCGTGGGCACCGACACGGCTGCAGAGCGTCCGGATCAGCGGGATCAGCGCCCGGAAACAAGGGAAGAGGAAGAGAGGAAACTTTCTGAGGACAGCCACAACAAGGAATAATTAATCAATGATGCCAGAGAGCATAACAAAGCAGCTCGGGGAGAGGGAGGACCGGAAAGGGGGAATGAACGGCAGTCAGTTTCCAGGCGTTACTTTGTGTCTGCCTTCACACCACCCTTCCCGACTGCTTCCCATCCAACTCCCACCAATCCCAGGTCCCGGGTTTTTATCCAGGTGCCTCATTCCCTGGACAAACCTGTCACACTCTCACTGCCATTTCCAGCTGGGCTGTGGGAAAGCAGCAGCATGAGCGAGCTGCCTTCCACCTCCTGCTCATGGACCAAAGATTACATTTCATGAATTATTTTGCAGGATTAACCAAACTCGAGTTGGCTGGGGGGAAATATTTAACAAACATCCCCATGCAGCATTCCAAACCCTCATCCTCAGAGCCCTTCCTTGCCCAGATGAGGTTCTACCTTTGTTATCTCATATCAAATGCTGAGCAGACAGCCAATGACAGCTAAGGAGGGGAATGAAAGACATGAAAAATAACTCCTAAGATTTAAAAGTAATGAGGTAGAGCATTCTCAAATCAGCTGCTTCTCCTCTCTCACGTGTCTTTATGTGCTTTCTCTATCTTCCTATGCACCTGTTCTTAAGCAAAAAACAATGATACACAACGGCAAGTTTGTCCAAAGGATCCCTGATCCAGCAGCAGCACCACCGACCCCGGGGTAAAGTTATTTGTCTCAAGCTGACAGTGAAAACAGAAGGACTAAAGAGAAAATTGTGGATTTGCTTTTATTTCCTTCTCTTACAAGAAGCAGACTCAGTATTGTGGAGTGACCCAGGGCCTGACCTCGCTGAGTTGTTCCTGCAGCAGCGATGTCGTGACAGGCACAACATTCACAGCACAGGAGAGTCTGGGGGGAGGACACTGCAGCTCCAGGGGGTCAGGAAGCAGGAGCTGGGCTGTGGTGATCACTAACCACTGCTCTCTTCATCAGAAACATTCTCTCTGGCCATAACAAGCACGTGAAATGTTTAACACCAACCACGGAGAAGCTGCTCCTCACCCCCTGCACTTGTGCTGCTGCTGCACAACCTATTGATCACCTTGACCCAGCCAAAGTCATTCCCAAATTAGAAAGAGACAACTTTGCAGATCAGGAAATAAGTGAACAGGAAGCTTCCCAGGAAGGCAGAGGGATCACTAAAATAGACAAGCAAGCTCATCACACCTCCACAGTCTACTAGAGAAAGTCTCTTCTTTGCCAAAACCCTTTAGAGCAGAAAGAGCACACACGTGGTGTCTGTGCCTCCCTTAAATCGCACCCAAAACACTCAGTTCAACCCGGGAATGATCTGCCAAGTCACATTTTCAGTACATGATTCTCCTCAGGGAAATGACTCTGGTTCAGCCAGAGCCTTCCCAGAACTTCTGAGAACTATAACCACCCCTCTAGGAACACTGAGACAGGGACAGCATCCCTGTGCCTGATCATAATGCCTCTGGAAAGAAATTACAGCATGGAATTTCAACAAGTTATTCCACAGCATTACAAGAGGAATCATAAACATAACGGAAACTTGGTCACCACAAAAATTCACAAATATCTATAAACACAAAGTTATGTGCAAAACAACTCTGGGAGCCACGGAATCCTGCAACCCAAAGTGGATTCCAAGAACTGACTGACTGGAAATGATTATCTGTGACATTTCTTAAATGTTTTGTTTGCTTTTTACTTAAACATTGAAGTTGGGACACAGACACAACAGAGGATTCCAGACCCAGCTGGGATCTTTCTTTGTCTCTCTTGGTTTTGTGAGTTTAACACAGAGCATGTCTCCAAACACAGGGAAGCTCCCAATGTAATACAACAAGAGCTTCATCTCATAACGATTTCCTGGCTCCAAATTCCCATAATCTCAGTTTCCACACACACAAACACACCTTCATTTTATATTCCACGCAACATGCTGGCGGAAAGCTCCAAACCCACGAAGTTCCCGCGCAACTTCACCTCCAGAGAGCTGTAACTGCTCAACCTACTGCACCTGGAGCCTCCCCATTCACCTGCAGAGCTCCTGCACACCTCGTTCATTTTACTGACTTTCCCAAAAAGCGCCAAGTGCCCAAATTTCCTTGAAAGAGCTTAAAGGATGGAGCTGCTCTAAGAGCGCAAGTACCACGAGCATCAATTCAGTGCTTCCGCTCCTTCTGCATCTCTGCTTCCCCTAATTCCACATGACTGGGACACAAACTATGGGATCAACACGCAGTGTTTCATCTGAAAACAGACCCCTGCTGCAGCTCAGCGGCCCTCTGGGCTCTCACCGCTCCCTTTCCACCACTCTCCCCACTCCTGCTCCTCCAAACCCCACCGCGCCCGGGAGCATTACCCGGTCCTTCATCCTCCAGCTCTGGGCCAAAGACTTGGAGCCTTCGATCTTCTCGCAGTGCCTCTTCTTCATGAAGGCCAGGGGCAGGTTCCAGTCCGTCAGGTCGGACTCATCCTCCTCGCCGAGCCCCAGCAGAGGCGACTGCAGCATCTCGGACTCCATCGGCGGGGCGGCTC